TTTTAAATTTTAGCCAGTCTAATGGGTGTAATGATATTTTATTGTGATCTTAATTTGCATTTCCCTGATTGTGCTAATACATTCAAACGTATAAACTAAATTATGTTGTAATAAATGAACACAGAAATAACTATAAAAAGAATCAGTTGGAAATTCCAACATGAAAACATAAATACATAAAGCAAAAAATTCCACAGATGGGCTTAATAGAAGATTGACAATGATAGAAGAACTCGAAGATAAATCAATAGAAATTATCCAATCTTAAGAACAGAGAAAAAGATTGAAAAACATAATAAAGAACAGAGCTTCAGGGACCTGTGGAAGGGTCTCAAAAAGTCTAGCATCCATATAATTTGAGTCCTAGAAGAAGAGAAGAGACAGATGGTTCAGAACAAATATTTGAAGACATAGTGACCGAAAATTTCCCAAACTTGGTGAAAGACATAAATTTACAGATTCAGCAAAGCTCAGCAAACTCCGGGAAGGATAAATACAAAGACAATCACAACTGGGCAGGATACAATCAAACTGCTACAAACCAAAGGCAAAGGAAACTCTTGAAAGCAGCCAGAGAAAAGCAACACATAACATGTGATTGAAATGCCTGCTCACTTCTCATCAGAAACCATAAAGGCCAGAAGAAAATAGAACGTCTTTAAAATTCCAGAGGAAAAAAGCCTTCAAGCCAGATATCTACATCCAGCAAAATATCCTTCAAGACTGAAGTGAAATAAAGCGATTTTCAGGTCAAAGAAAACAAAGAGAATGCATAGCCCACAACCCTGCACTAGGAGATCCGCCAAAGGAAGTTTTTTAGGCTGTAGGAAATGATTCCAGAGGGAAACTTGGAAGGAAGCACATTGTAAACGATAAATACGTGGCAAATTAAAAAGATGATCTTTTTACTCTTAATTTTTCAAAAATTTGTGTGACTTGATTTTAACATTGTCTTGTGGGATGTGTAATGTTATGTAGATGTAATAGATATGACAACTGTAGCATAAAGGATGGTGAGGGGTGGGAAATGGACCTACCCAGTTGCAAAGTTCTTAAAATTTTATGTGAAGTGATACAACACTAAATCTAGAGTGTGGAAAGTTAAAGATAGATATATATATATCCCTAGAGCAACCACTAAAAACATAAAGCACAGAGGTATAGTTTAAAAATCAATAAAGAAACGAAAATAGGAGAGTATAAATTTACCAATTATAATCAATGAACTTACATAATCAGAAACAGCCGCAGCAAAACTCCAGGGAAGCCTGGGACATAATTTAAGGCCAGAGGTGTGTGGTGGTAGGAGCACAATTCCACCAACAGTGACAAAAACAGCAGTATTACCTGATCCTCAGCCCAAAAGGCGCCCTTGGTGGTTTAGTGGTTAAGACTCGCCGCAGCCTGGGTTCATTTCCGGGTCAGGGAACCACCCCACCGGTCTGTCAGTTGTCATGCTGTGGCAGCTGTGTGTGGCTGTGATGCTGAAAGCTATGCCACCAGCATTTCAAATACCATCAGGGTCACCCACAGTGGATAGATTCAGCAGAGCTTCTAGACAAATACAGACTAGGAAGAAGGCTCTAGCCACCCACTTCCAAAAATATTGTTCATGAAAAGCCTGTGAATAGCCATGGAGCATTGTCTGATATAGCACCAGGAGGTGAGAGGAGAGCGCAAAAATATGGGCAGGTTTCTGCGCTGCTCTAACCAGGAGTCAGAATGGACTCGACAGCACTAACAACAGCCCAAAAGTCAGAGGGTGTGGGGACTTTTCCTAGGACTTGAAAATCAGAAAGATAATTATTTATTCTAAATAGATGTCCATAGAGATAGAGAATATTGTTATATTAAAGAATAGTAGAAAAAGCATAAAACTGGGGCTGGGGTCCTGGAGTCTGGTCTAGACTCTGCAGTAACTGGCTCTCTGGCCCTGGGCAAATTATTTCCCCTCCTTGAGCCTTGGTTTCTCCAATTTTGGTAAAATTGAGAATGTTAAAATTATTTCTAAGATCACTTGCTTTTTAAAAAATAATATTTGGGGGGGCCGCCCCGTGGCTTAGCGGTTGAGTGCGCACACTCCGCCGCTGGCGGCCTGGGTTCGGATCCCGGGCACGCACCAACGCACCGCTTGTCTGGCCATGCTAAGGCGGCATCCCACATACAGCAACTAGCAGGATGTGCAACTACGACATACAACTATCTACTGGGGCATTGGGGAAAAAAAAGGAGGAGGATTGGCGATAGATGATGTTAGCTCAGAGCTGGTCTTCCTCAGCAAAAAGAGGAGGATTAGCATGGATGTTAGCTCAGGGCTGATCTTCCTCTCACACACAAAATAATAATAATAATAATAATATTTGGAATGAGGTTAGGGTATTTCTAAATTAATTATTTTGCTGGATTTTTTGTTTATTCATTTTTTTTCTGAGGAAGATTGGCCCTGAACTAACATCTGTGCCAATCTTCCTCCACCTTGTTTCTGGGACACTGCCACAGCATGGTTTTTTTTTTTTTTTTGTGAGGAAGATCAGCCCTGAGCTAACATCCAGGCCAATCCTCCTCTTTTTGCTGAGGAAGACTGGCCCTGAGCTAACATCTATTGCCAATCTTCCTCCTTTTTTTTTTTTTTCCCCTTTCTCTCCCCAAAGCCCCAGTAGATAGTTGTATGTCATAGTTGCACATTCTTCTAGTTGCTCTATGTGGGACGCGGCCTCAGCATGGCCAGACAAGCGGTGCGTCGGTGTGGCCCAGATCCGAACCCAGGCCGTCTGTGGTGGAGTGAGGGCACTTAACTGCTAAGCCACGGGGCCGGCCCCCCACAGTGTGGTTTAACAAGCAATATGTAGGTCCGTGCCTGGATCTGAACCAGAGAATGCCGAGGCCCAAGTGGAGCAAGTGAACTTAACCACTACACCACCAGGCTGGCCCCTGCTGGATTTTTTTGAAGTTTCCATCCAGCACTAACACTCTAAGATTCTATTTTTTATTTTGCTTATGACATTCTCTTCTGATCATAGTCTCCCCACCTTATGAAGCTCCAATTGAATATCTGTATGTTTTCACGTGAAATAACTTTCCACGGATATACAGTAATGGTAGAGATTCAAAAGTCTTTTAATTTTTTAAGTGGTCTTCATGATGAAAAAAACCTTTTTCACTTCCCTTCAACATATTTAGTTGAGGGGCCCTATAGTGGAGGAATCTGCATATAGCACCACTGCAACAGTTGCAGATTTCACAGCCAATGACACTACATTTTATACATTAAAAAATAAAATACCTATACCTATATTACAGAAAAACTCTCAAAATTCAAGTTCTCACTCAGGCTAAACTTCTAGTTTGGATTTGATATTAAAATACATAAGAGACTATGTATATGGGACTATAACATTTAAATTTTTTCTATCCCAATTATTGTTTGTTGCCATGAGATTACTATGTGGACGAGAATATATAAACTAGAGGAAATTTTATCTTTTCCCCTAAAATGTATTAAAAGAGAAGACACTTGAGTCCTGAATGATTTCCCTCTTTCCTAGACAATTCCTGCATTTTTCAGATGAAAGAGACGGATGTATCTGTGTGGACTGGTGAGAAGGTATACGAAGGAAATAAACTCAGGTCCCACAGAGTAGTGGTGGCAACGGATGTGGCATCTTTGGGGTGTTTGTCAGGCAGCTGTCTCCAGGTTACCTAGGAGCCCACACGCTCTGCTCTCCGGAGTTTGTTCTAAAGCAGTTGCATAAGTGTGATCATCGATAAAGATGCTCCTCTCCTCTCCCGAGCTGGTTTTCGTTTAATTGAAAAAAGAAGTACTGAAAAATGACAACTATTTTTAAGCTTCACTCAGAAGCCAGTTTGATCTCCTTTGCTACCCAATTCTACTTTAAAAAAATATAAAATACATCTAATGCAATTAGTTAAGCAATTAATCTAGTCTTCAAACTGAATTTCATCCATTATTAGTTTCAATTTTAATAAATTGATATAATTCATCCAAAACATCAAATTGGTTGTGCTATAGGGAACCTCATGGAGCAAACGAAATGCTAAACTCACTTAGCAGAAAGAGATATGAAAATCATCTCAGGCTTCAATTTCATAGGATTAAACAATTACTTTTGTTACTAGTTTTTAAAATAATTCTTTGTAATAGTAAGTTCCTAAAATGACTCATAATTAAATTTAGCTCCTTCTTCATAGTAGAAGGGCAAGATAATGACCCATGACAGCTAGCTTAAGAGTTAGATGTACTCTTATTTTCTTATATAACTATGAAAAAAGTCATGGCTAACAAATATTTGGAATGGTTTTACCTGTTCCCTCGAGTGGGCCCAAATGCCACTGTTTCTCTGTAGGTATTATTGTCACGTTATCTTGGCAAATCAAGGTGCAGAGGTCCCTTTACATTCCCTTTACATACATTCCCTTATTGCTGACTCATTCTGGCACATTCTGAAGCAGTTTACTCTCCAAAAGTGGGCACTCATCTTCTGAGGTTCACATCACAGGAGATCCCTGGGCTCCCGTGCTCCTGGGGAGGCTGGAAGGAGGGCAAATGGGGCCATCAGGCAAATCACAGCCTGTCCATCCTGCAGCCCTGAATGGAACAGGCAGTACATTTTAGAGGGAGCTTCAAATACTTACACCTTAGCCTGAGAGAGTGGTTCCCGAGTGTTTTCAGTCCTGGACCACATGATGAGAAATCTAGTGTCGAGGGGCTGGAGGTAAGCGTGATTTTTTTTTTTTTTTATTGCTACCAGTTTGGAGTTGACGGAGCACGTGTTTCACATATAAATATTACCCAAGACTCAAAAGTCAGGCGTCAGGTGCTTTTGAGACGTTATTCAGGAGGTTCCGGTCCAAGGTGGCCAGATAGGAGGCTCCTGAACTCACCTCCTCCCACGGACACACTGAATCTACAGCTACACATGGAGCAATTCCCTCTGAAAGAAATCCAGAAACTAGCTGAGCGACTCCTACACATCGGACGAATGAGAAAATACCGACATCTAAACGGGTCTTGGCATACCTTCGACTACCGGGAGTCACTAACAACAAAGAAGGCAGCTCGGACAATCACAAAGGTTTGACGGACAACCAGGAGCTCAGACCCAGATGAACGAGAAGGTGTGTCTCCTACATGAGACCACTCTGTCAAGACTGGGAGAGGTGGCCGTTTTGCCTAATGTGGAGAAACCAACACAGAGAGGCAAGGAAAATGAAGAAACAAAGGAATATGTTTCAAACAAAAGAACAAGATAAAATTCCAGAAACAGACCTTAATGAAATGGAGATAAGTGCTTTACCTGATAAAGGGACCTCATTCACATCCATATTCATTCAGCTGACCATTCCCAATGTTAAGTTTCATGATGCAACTTTAAGTGCAATTAAACTTGTATGACTCAAAATTGTGTGACTAATGACACTAGCTTCAATTGCAATCACTCATTAATGCAGACCTGCCAGCCTGACCCCAGATAACACCAATTCCTTAACAGTAGTCAGGGAAGGATGTCAGACTCTCCAGTTCATGTTTCCTGGATAATCAGTTAAACTTCAGGCGGGCTGCACCTCAAGGCCAGGCAGGATACCCAAGACCTGGGATGGTCCTGTTACCTGGGCTCATGATGTCAACTTTGTATATTCAAATCTCATGGATGCTACTCCCATAATACCTACGTGGATGAGTTGTGTTTCAGGAAACACCAACCATCTCCCTGTAACTTCCTCTCTCCGTGGCTTCCCTAAAAGTCCTCAATTCTTCAGAAAATTTGGCTGTATTTAGATGTCCTAGAGGAGATATATGGTATCTGGAATTTCCAGCGGGTTTATTCACTGGAGAGAAGTTCTCCATCACAGTTGAGCTGCTTTTATGGGGCCAGCAACTCCCATCATTTGGCAATTTCCCAAGGAGCAGAAATCCTCAGTCAGGCATCCTAAGGTATTTGCAGCAGCTGCCATTTGTTGAGTGCTTACCATGTGCGAGGGACTGTGCTAAGCCTTTACGCGGCTTAGCACATTTTGTATTATTTTGTATATTATTTTGTATATTCCCCAAAATAACTCTGCAATGAAGTTACCATTATTGTTCCCATTTTACAGAGAAAAAAGTGAGGTTTAGGGAGGGAGAAGAAAGTTCTCTGGATTTCTTCTGTAACATAAATGGCAATCTAGGAAATTTCATTTCAGAAAACAGTAGGGCAAGTGGACAAGATTCTCTTGTCCCGTACGTAGACTCGATTATAAAGGTGATGTTTATGTGCACGTTTACTCCTCGAAAGGCAATGTGCCTATGCATTTATACCTATGGTATTAACATGATGAGTAAATATTTGTTTTAGGGTTGTATATGCCAAGACTGAAGAAGCCTGAAGACACCACTGATGCTATATTTGTAAATGCAGTTCCCATAATTGCCAAATGGATGAGATCCTTGACCCCAGTTTCTGAGGATGATCAGCTTTGGTTGGCAATTTACTAACTTCACCTTCTCCCTTTTAAAGTATACCAGGTTTTGGAATAAGCCACACTGGGGCCATCCAGATCAGCATTTCTCAAACTTGAATGTGTACACAAAATCCCCTGGAGATCCTGTTAAAATTCGTATTCTGATTCAGCAGGTGCAGGTGGCCTTTGCATCTCTAACTAGTTAGCTCCCAGGTGCTGGTCCATGGACCACACTTTGAGTAGCAAGAATCGAGACTTCTTCCAAAAGGAAGAAAAGAAATATCATACGTAGAAAGAATTCTCTCCTACACTCTGTAGACAGAGATTGAGTCTGGGACTGTACAAACATTACATACATAGAGATATTTCCCTGGGAAAATGTTATGTTTGGCCAAACTGCTAAATATTTGATATTCTCCAGTTCTTATTTTTTTAATGCAAAAGTACTTCAAATATTGTTCCAAAGATTTCCGGCTAATACAGATCATCCATTAATGAGTTAGACTCATCTAAAGCAATCAATCTTTTTCTCTAAATTTTTTTCACACCTTTTTCTATGATCTAACTGTTCAAAACAGCTCTTGGAAACTAAAAAAGGAATCATAAGGCACAAATTATCTTTCATGACTGTAATGTGTCTCTCAATGTGATTCTGATCCAATTGATAGTAATTTATTGCATTGTTTTATCCTTATCAGGATCTAATTAGAAAAAATAACTGTCATTAATGTGTAATCAAGTCTTATTTCATAAGAGAATTTATGGTGTGTAAACACTTAAGAAGTGGTTATTCTAGTAGCATTCTCAACCCAGATAGGTTTGCAGAATATCCTTGTCCTTCCTGTAATGTTTAATCGAGAAAAGTATTTGTCAAGACATGGCAGTGACTTGATATGATGATATCACCCATAAAAAATAGGATATTATTTCCAGTAATTTTTATGACTCATACACTTAAGAAATACTTTACATAACTGCTTATCCAGGAAAGGATATTTTAGAGAAAATTTAATTTAAACTATATTTAATTTAACTTCAATTATCCAAATGACTGCTTCATCTGAAGTATTTACGTTTCATCTACGTGTTTAGTATTCTCTAGACAAAGTTGTAGTCATCATGTAAACGAAAAAATGTAATTAGCTTAATTACCTGGTGTTAACTGTGATTTTCCTTATGCAATATTAATTACTTGTCATTTATTGCTTATAATCAGGTTTTAAATATATATATTTATTAAACTCAGACTGATGACATGTATCATTTCACAATTAAAATATCAAATTATGTGTTAAGTGTGTGGTGCTAATCAGAAGTGAGATCTATTGGCTTAGAAAAGGAGAAAGTATTGATCTTAATTAGAAGAAACAAACTAGATTGTTAATAAATTCTGTAAAGCCTTATAGAAACACAAATAAAACAGAAAAAGTTCATTAGACTAACAATAATAACAATATCTGTTAAGTGCCCTCTATGTGCCAGGCCCTATTCTACATGCTGTACCTGTCCTGTCTCCTTTATTCCTCACAGGAACCCAGTGAGGTGGGTTATAACATTCCTATTTTACAGATGAGGAAACTGAGATACAAAGAGCTTAGGCAACAAGTCTAAGATCACATCAGCACATGGTGGAGTGGGGATGCACACCTGGGAAATCTGGTTTCAGAGCCCACATACTCCACTACAGAAGTGTAGAAAGTTTTGTGTTCTTTAGATCAGAGGTTGGCAAACTATAGCCCACCAGCTAAATCTGGCCTGCCAACTTAAGCCTGTAAACTGTGAATGGTTTCTATGTTTTTTAAAAATTGAAATAAAAAAATATTTTTGTGGCACAAGACAATTATATGAAATTAAAATTTCAGTGTCCATAGATAAAGTCTTACTGGAACAGAATCGCTTTCTTTTGTTTACGTATTGTCTATGGCTATTTTCATGTTACAACAGCCAAGTTGAGTAGTAGCAACACAGACCACATGGCCCACAAAGCCTAAGGTATTTACTATCTGGCCTTTATAAAAAAGGAGTGAAGGGAATCAAGAAGACAGAATTTGAGCAAATGCAGCAGAGGGTCCATCCAAATGGACTGCGACTCACTCAAGGTTACCTGCAATGGGGCCACACCTTATGAAAATGAAAGTATAAAATGAGAAAAATGTCATGCAATTAAGTAAATAGCAATCAGAGTCAGAGTAACTGGTGTCTAGCCTGCTTTTCCCAGGGCAAAGGTGTGGGAAGGATTTGGGGCGGGGTCTGGGCTGCAGGAAAGGATAAGATTAGGAAAGGCAGAATTGCGCACCCAATTTTCTAGATTTGGCACATACCTGCTGCTTTCCCTACTGTTTGGTCAAAACCAGAGCCAGTAAATCAAGGAAGGACAAAAATCTCATCTACCTGTTGCCATCGTTGCCTGGAAGGGCTTTTGGACAGAAGGCCTGCAGAGATCTTCCCGGGGGCTGGGTCAGGAGCGAGGTGGGGTGTAAATCGGTTTGGTGGAGCAGGGGTGCAGCGTGCCTAGGCACAGTGGGAGGAGGACAAGGAAGCCCCCTTGTGTGTCAAAGGAGCCATAAACCCACGTGCCCTTGCTATAGAGTGGCAATATTTGCTGAAAAACTGTTCATTCTATAGTGTCTTGCCCGGGAAATGGTCTTTAAAGAGATTATGTTTTTTGGACATTATTAAGATCACTTTTTACCTCCCAAATAGAGATTACTTGAGGATATTCCAATTCCTGGAGAAGATGAGATATCAAAGATTTATTTATTTTCATTAGAACATTTATTTTCATTAGCCAAGATGGGCTGCCATGTTGATACACTTGAGCTGAGGCCTATGAAGTGGGTCAGGCCAATTACCAAAACACCAGAGATGCTAGTCATTTTGTTCGTAAGATCCCATATACTTTCTTGAGTGATTAAGCTCTGTGTAATGATGAAAGATATCCTCTATGGCATCACGTTTATACATAAAAACATATCCGTCAAAAGTGGGAAAACGTTCAGTGTGTGTATCATCAGTTTGGATAGCACAGCAGGATTTGGGTTCTAAACTACTAGAATGATACAAATGTGAATATGTTTACGTTAAAGTTAGGTTTGATCGGTTTCAAGGCCTTTCTTTTTGGAACAGATTATGAAATATCCAGAAGTCTTACCAAGAAAATTCAGACATCTTTGCAGGCAGGTGTTGGTGTCAGCTGGGGAAATACAGTTTAGCATATCCTGGGCATCCTGTGGGAGGGATTAAGATTTCAGTTATTCCCTCAACCCAGTACATTACATCAATGTTTCCCAAACTTGTGTGTATCAGAGTCACCAGAAGAAGTTCTTAAAAATACAGATTCCTCAGTACCACTTCTAAAAAGTCTAATTTAGTAAATCTATGGTACATCCCAGGAATTCAAACTTTTGTAAAGTTTCCCAGGATTTGGAGCCACTAAATTATGTGTCCCTTAATTTTTGCAAATACCGTATTTGATACTCTACATAAAGCTATGTGTGGGCATGTTTTTTTCCTAAAATTTCAGGAAATCAGTCATAATAGCCTCAAAAAGTCATAATAGTCAATAGAGTCCCAGTAGCTTCAAAAAGAAATTCCCTAACTCCTAGTCAGAGAGGCCTGAGGTTCCACCTTGAGT